TTAGACCAAAATTAGCCGTGAGGTATTTCGGTCCATTATTTTTTTGAATTTACCTTACTTGTCACCGTACTATGGGGATCTTTACGACCAAACAAATTAGAGACCTAAAAAGAATAGCCAAATATTCAACCGTTTTAGTAGTAACTTTTGTTTTAATGTACTTTCGATATGTTTATTAGTACGATCATCAACTAGGTTCAAAAAATCTTTTGAGAAAGTATCCAATGATTTTTACCAGCTTTCTATCGTTAGTACTAACGTTAATTTTCATTAAAAAGTACGACAAATGTCAAAGTATTTTCATGACGAGTTTAATGATACGTAAAAATTGAAAAATACGAGATACTTTATGGAATTCCACCTGGTTATAGACAAATTCAACAGCATTGTAAATATTTTTCATCGCACCATGAACACAATTACTGACTTATCATTATATTTACTATACTACACATAAGAAATGGATTATAATGTCATGTTCTAAGGAATTTTATAGACGTTCGTTAATTAAGTCGTACTACATTAGGAATGAAGAGCAGTAAAAATGTAATTGATATTTCAGTATACAAATATTGCCAGCAGCTGAAAATTCCATTCAAATATTCTTCCTATTCATTATATATAACTTCTGGTATTATATAAAATAGAATAAGAGCTATTCGAGCTCATATATGTATTATTGAGAAAAATATATTATTGAATTAACACATATACATTTGTTTGAACATGTGAGCTTCTTAATTCTTCTTCGTGTACTAGGGACACTTAAAGTGTTGAAATCACCTGTATGGATGATTGGCATGGATCAGACCTGTCCAGGAACTAATCTGCCTTATCTTGTTTATAAAATCAGACTATGAACCAGTCTGCTTCTTGAACGGTTTTGTCTGCAGGTGATCTTCTTAATCAGTCCTGTGAGGGGTCTCCATTTGAATAGACTTGTAGAAAGGTATACCCAATGACATTTATGGTGATTAAATCAAATACCACTAAGAAGAAATATATTTACAAATCATGTGCCTTCTGTTGCACTGTAACGATCTTTCATAAACAAAAATTGAGGCAAGAAATGGTGGCCTCGCGGTACTTCTACATATTTTTTCTTCCGCCTAATTTTTTTCTTGCGCTGTATTGATGTTTCAAAAGATGTCGCTTAAATATTTTGTATATAATATTGTACAGTTTATACGCTTTTGAAACTGACCCTGTTTAACCGAACACTTTTCTTTGTAAAAGTTATCTCCCCAAAAACTGCTTTTCTTGTTATGCCTACTCCTTCTCAACCGTAAGAAAAAGCGACACATTTATTTTTCCGAATTGCTCGCTACATCCTCAGAATGTTACATTTAATTTTAACCGATGCTTTCCGGAGACTCCATATGAGATTTATTTCCCCTTCTGTATTTAAAATAAGTGAAATGTAATTGTAAGTGGTAAACCATTGGTGAGAGAGACCTAGGGTCTTTTGATTTGAGATCCTTGGTCCACAAAATGAAAAATAAGGTCAAGGTCAAAGGTCAAGGTCATGTTCTAAATTTTGATTTTGGCTTGTTATTACTTATTATTAGAAGCCGTATAAGATATCGACAATATATATTTTTACAGAATTGTTATATGCGACATGTAACATAAAAATTTTGGTTGAAAGGGTACGTTGACATTAAATGGGAGTTTTCTCCCCTTTCATATTTAAAACTAGCTGTATGGTGATATAACTCATTATCCATATATAGTAGAAACCTATGGTCTTTTGATTTGAGGTCCTTACTTTTGACCTTGAAATTTAGGTCAAGGTCAGAGTTTAATTTGATGTTCTAGATTTTGAGCTTTACAGTAACTTATTATTTGTACATGATAAAGTCATATGGTTTTTTGAATTGGGCTGTAAGACATATGACCTTGAAAGGTCAACTGAAAATGACATTGTATAAACCGGAAGTAGCCATTTTTGTCATCATCTTAATGTAAAATTTACTAGAACTTTATATTTTAGGAATCGATGTGAATTAAGGTTCATTTGAAACCGGAGTGGAATTTTGTAAACCAAAAGTACCTACCTATCACCTTTATTTTGAGCACAAGTATATAAAAACCAGATATATATATTGAATCAACGTAAATAAAGCTATCATCTGAAAGCAAAATTGACTTTATAAATCTAAATTGAATACTTTTCTATCAAAAGAAGAACATTTGGGTGGAACAATTGGTTTTTAATTAAAATTGTTTTTTTTTTTATTTTGAACCGAAATAGTTACATTTGTAATTGATAAAGTTTTTATTTCACATTTGTGGCAAAAAGAATATTACTGTTTTCTAATGTTAGCTATTCTTTTAGAAAATGTATACTAGTTAACAAAAGAAACGATACATGGCCATGCATTTTCCATATATAATGAAATTGAATACACTGTACCAAGGTAAATAGTTGCCCAATTGGCCTAATATTTACAGAGTGTTATTTTCTTATCGAAACCATTGATTTAAGGCAAATACGCGATTTTTTTTATTGCAATTTTTGTTATTTCAAAAATCGTATTTTCACCCAAAAATTCAAAAATCGATATTAGAACTTAAAACTTTAAACTTAAACATGGTCTGCTTAAAATTTTGAATGCCTTTGCAGAAATTTGAATACTTAATTCTCATCTTCGAAATTAAGTGCCGATTTTTGTCATCATTTCCCGCAAAAATAAATTTGACCTCTGTGTTCAACAAAACGGTATTTTCTCACTTTCCAATTTGGTCAGATTCTTTTAATCATATGCATTTGCTTTGCTAATGAATGTTTTTCATTGGATAATTTAACAGTTTTTCCTATTTATTATATTTTATGATAAATTGGAGTTCAAACTTGTGTATCGTTACTTTTGTTGACTAGTATATTATCATACCGAGCTCCAAGGTAAATTCAAAAAGGGGGAAGTCCATAAAACCTGACAAAATCAAACGTTCGACTATATCAACCAACGGATCGAATGGTAAACAACTGTCATATTCCGGACTAGATACAGGCATTTCCGCAGAAAACGGTGGGTTTAAGCTGGTTTTATAGCTTACTAAACCTACCACTTGTATGATGTTATTTAAAAATTGATAAAATTGTCTGGGCAAGCCAAAAAGGCATAATCACTCATTGCTATCCAGCAGCAAAAATTGTGTAAACATATATCATAAATATACAATACAACTGACTTTGAAATATTAAAACAAACATACAATTAACGCCACAAGAACAAGTTTTGTAGTTGATAGTACAGTATAGTAAATCATTATGACATTTTAACTTTTCTGATAAATTACAAATTAAGTAAAATTTAAATACAAGGATATACAAAATGAAAATATGAAAACTTCATGCGTCCGAATCGCACCTCTGTACCGACCCGCAATGCAAACGGTAAAAGTCAAAAACACGAAAGATTTATGCACAAATATCGAGCCACACCAAGAGTCAAACTACTAAAAGAACATAATATTACAAAGAAAAGAAAGGGGGAAAACTGCAAAGTAAATAAACTGATACATAACGTCAGGACCTCAATACTATCCTGTATTATTTGTGAAGTTGACATTGTATATTTATCTACATGTACATGTATTAGGTATTTGTGCCTTTCGATAAAGTTTTTGAGAAAAAGAACGAGACATTCTTTGACAATACCCTGACTCATTATTTTTTTGTTAAGATACCGATGACATCTTACAAACTCTGAGTAGCAGCGCCAAGCTCTTCAACATCGTATGAGTTGAGAAATGTATACTCCATACGCGGGTGAAGTTTGTATATTGCTGCTAAGTTGAGGAAAATTCAAAATTTCAAAATTGAATCGTCTCGTTTGTCATAGATTCTGGTACTGAGATAACCGCTGGAGTCGAATTCGAGGTATATGTCTAAAATGAGGCGGAGAATGCAATCTCTGTTGTTTGCTAATCTCTAGTTCAGCAGGATATATTAATAGAAAAGTTTGGATTGTTTATGGAGAAAACATCATCAATATACCTGTAGGTGAAATTAAATGATCTAGCTTCTTTGATCTCTTGGTTTTTTACAAGTGTCTAATGGAATCCGACTCATAGGAAAATAAGAAAATGTCGTCAAGGTGAAGTGCATAGTTAGTTCCTATAGGAATGCCAACAACCTAGCTGGTGGAAAATACTACCTCCAAATTAAAAAAAAATATGTTGTCAATGAGAAGCTCGAGGATACTGATCACTTGTTCTTCGGTCTAGCATGTTTGAATGTTAACGGAAGGGTTGATTGTTTAAATCGTTTGTGCGATATACATTTAACTGTCGTCTTTTCCTTTGCCAATATGACCCTGACCAGTCTCTCCGTTATTCTCGAATCACGGCTTTGAGACGCAGGCAGGATTTATCAGCGACGTCACAATGTCCGTGAAGAAGTTATCAAGCTTGCTTTTGTCGAGGTTAAAACTGTCTAAGAGAGGAGAAAATACCAGTAATAGAACAATAAACAGATTGTCGGTGTTTTCAACGTACAGATAGGTATTCTATACGTATCATATTTTTGCTGAAATTTCGTCGTTATTCTTCTTTTAAGGGAAAACATCATTTAGCCAAAATTATTTTCCTTTCGTCTGGATATCACAACGTTTTTCATTCTTCCCAAATCCCACCCACCATTTCGTTGCGATCCGCGTTAATATAACTTCGACATTTCATTAGTGGTATTAATTAATACAAAACGGTTCTGAACAGAAGTTAATTTTAGAAACAAGCAGTTTACTTTAGCATAAAGCTGACCAGACCAGACCATTGTTAAGCTTAGAACGTTTCTGGTTCTACCAGAGCAGATCAGATCCCCGTTAATTTGTATGCAATAAGTAGAGTAATTCTAAAGAATTGATGTATAATATACATTGTATAAATCAGTAAAAAAGAAAGAATACCTAAATGAAAACATGTCAAAGACCAAATTCATGTGTTTCCTTTATAAATTTGGGTTCTTGTTATCTTAAATACAACAGATTACCTACCTAAACTCAAGTGTTTCAAAATCTTATGTCTGGGAATCATAGCAGTTATCTTTAGGGAGTCTTTATGTTTAAACTCGGAAATAGTCGTATGCTTATCTTTTGAGTGACTGTCTGAGATATTGAACTGAAAGTTCTCTGTATTGTTGACCTCGTTAGTATTGACTGAATCTTTAAGAGCTGGTTCTTTTGTGATCTGATTTGATTGCAATTTGCTGTCATCAACACTGGTTAATTCAATCATGTACATTGTATTTGTTGTCCTATCGCTCAAATTGTCTCGTAAATTTGATTTTTTTTCCTCGTCGTCTTTTACAAATGTGATAGAATTATTCACAGAATTCTGAAAAGAACCTTGCGTTTCCTTGACGTCCCTGCTGCTATTCTTGTATTTGCTTTTATCTTGTTTATGTATATGATAAACTGTGGAATTGTCTTGGGACACGAAACTTAATTCTAAATTCTCTGTTTCATTTCCGCCTTGCTTCTTTTCTGAGATTGAATTTAAATGGTGTTCATTCAAATAAAGTGTTGAGTTATTTGTTCTGTTACTCGTGACAGGAAATGCGCAATCCAATAAAAGGAAACAAACAAACAAATAATTAGGTCCTAGAAGAATTGTATCGGATGACATCTTTATATAGATTTCCTTTATTTAGACTCCTGAAATTATAAAACAGAAATACAAAGTGACAAATTGGATACGAGTTCGAATCATTTTTCAAATTGTATATCACAACAGTACTTCCATTTTTTTTATTTCATATTTTTATTTTGTTCATATAGAAGATGAATATAAATGATTACAACAAAAAAAAAACGTAAAGAAAGGCAGTACGTGCTGCTGATTATCGTACCATAACTGTTTGATGCTCAACTCGTCAGGTCTAAGAAAATTTTAGGACCGATATGGAATGTACGTGACAATCTAGACCAGTGTAATAAAAGGCACATACGGAATGTACAGACAAAATCAGTGCAGAACGAACACTTTACTTCATACAAGCGGTATAATATATAATAGATGATAAAACAATACTGCAATAAAACAAACAAAATCATCAAACCCTTAAAAAAATCCAGGAAAGGCGATAATAAACCACATCGTATCAAAATGTGCTCGCAGTTACTGTAAACAAGCTCAGTTGAAATTATCAAATTCTGCGGTCCTACATAAACAGCGAAAAAAGATACGTACAAAGCTATGTAGCAACATTCCAGCATCACCTATATATGATGTATATATCTCTTAGTTGATACGATATTCCAGAGCTTGCATTTCTTATCATGATTTCCTTGATAGAGGGTTGCTGCTTTCAAGGAAGCTATTGGACTAAAAGTTCCAAGTGGTGAAGTTGAAATCATCCCTTCGAAAATCATAAGTTGGTTGACCGTTATGGAATATCTGTTTCACAGATGACGACGGGTATGTTCCAATTGTTGTAACCACAATCCTGTCCTCTTTTCCTCAAATGTGACCTACCGAATTAGATTCACCGGCTTTGTAGTTATATTAGCAACACGACGGGTAACAGCGGTATCTGCTTAACCTTCCGGAGTACCTGATATAACCCTCGGTTTTTGGTGTGGTTCGTGTTGTTCAGTCTTTATGTTGATTTTTTGTGTACTGTTGTTTGTCGTTTTTCGTCTAGATATTGTCAGTTTTTTTTTTGGCTTACGAGTTTGAATATCCCTTTGGTACCTCTCGCCTTTCTTGTACAGATTTTCTCTTGTTTAAACTAGGAATTAACGAACTTATGTTATATAATCCCTGAAATACTAGACAATCACTGAAATGCACATGTATGATTATAACTTTTATCAACTAAAAATTAGTCATTGTGTTACGTTCAATGATAAAAAAAATGTCAATGTCTTATAACTCCAGTAAAAATGTCAAATCAAAATGGCGGTATTTAAAAGTTAATTAGCAATGATGACGTACAATCCCAAGTATAAAATATTTCTTGAAAACGGTCGCGGAGAGGAGAAAATTGCACTAATTAAGGATAGACGGGCGAAGATTATAATCATAACTTCCAGATTACAAAAAAAACTAAGATAATACGCAGAAAACTTATAAAGTCTAAAAACTAAACAAAACACGAAAAAATGAACTGGTAGTTCTTGATCCGTTGGTATTACCCGTTGTGTTACTCCTGTTCGGTGATACGATTTCATGCAGATGGTAAATTTCATAAAATAGGCTCTGAATTCAATTATGGCTTTTTAAAATCTTAGCTTTGTATGCCCCCGCCGTAGGCAACGGGTGCATTAATTGTTACCCTTGACCCTCTGTCCCATTTTCGTTGCAAAGCTTGAGCGGGGGCGTTTGTGTCCTCAGACACATTCTTCTTTTATGTTTATAAGACTTTCACCTGTACTGCCGTGTAATCCAAACCCAGTTCAATGTAAACAACACCTGTTATTGTACGATTCCGTGTGCATTTTCTGAACTTCTAGATAGGAATATTGCCCAGACTGCTAATGCAGAAAATGCATTAAATAAAGACTAGTTCCAGACAGTTTCTGTATTACCTATCCGCATATTAAAAGTTTATTAGCCACTGAAAAACTTTATCGATGAGAAAACATAAATAACATAAATAATTGCTATCAAAATATTAATTTCCGATAAATGTCAGCTAATATAAACACGATATTGAAAATGTTGTCTAGTTTATCACTAAACTAGAGCTTCAATACATAACAAGTTAACCGACATGTTTTGTTATTTTGATTTGCAAGTGTTTATTAAAAAAGACCTATGAATAAAAAATAGTGGATGCCATAAACTTCTGGTGTGTCAATAACACCTACATTGAACATTGGGAAGTAAATAAAAATTCCCACTTAAAACCGTGAGATATATATATATCTGTTGCCGAAGAAGATCGCCATATCTGTTATTTACAACGCCTCTGTGGTACATGTACCTGTCGCCTGTACCATGTATATGTTGTGTACAAATTGTAATGTTGTACAAATTATAATTTGTACAGAATTTTTGTACAAGTTATCAGTGTTTTATGAACCGCTTAACACAAATGGATGATACAAGCACACAGTCTTTTGTTTCACATAATTCTGTCATATTTCCATGACTACATGATGCAGTCTAATACTGAGCATTGATACAAAAAACATTATAAGAACACAAAATGACTTTTTATGGATATGATTTTGGTATAAAGAGAAAAATAAAAATAGAATTTAAACCATTCAGGTGTCCTTATTTCCAGTTTTAGGACAAGGAGAATAACACTAAATGTTAAGTTGAAGTATATAAATTTGAATTTAAGACATTAAGCTGATAAATTTTAGAAGATAAACTTTTATCACCTGGTGCAAAAAGGTATGTGTCAAAAAACTTATAACTTGTACAAAAACCCTGTACAAATTATAATTTGTACAAACTTGCATCGTGTCCACAACATATATATCACCTCAGTCACTTTGATTACGAAGCATTTATTTTCGCCTCGCTCATTAAGTCTCTATATTAGAAGAAATTGATCATAACAATTGTGATCAAAGGTTCACATTATGGGATTTATAAGGCATGACGTCATAATGTATTAAAACGTTTGATAACAGTACAGAATGATGAGTACAAAGTCCATGTATATTTGTACTGATTTGAAAAGCAGATGACAAAAGGTGCAAAATCAAAAATCCAAACACATCAAACGAATGGAAAACAACTGTTATATTCCTGACTTGGTACAGGCATTTCCTTATGTAGAAAATGGTTGATTAAACCTGATTCTATAGCTATATTCCAATTTTGTAATAGTTTTAAAGGTAGGTTCAAGTACGCTCTATGTTAAAATATGAATAATACGAAACTCGGGGTTTACATTAATGACAACCCAATGACAGACACACAACCACCCACACACAAATCGTAACGATATCTAGAGGTTAACATGAGGTCAACAACAAACAGAAAAGTTTATACATAAAATGTCAAGCTCTTAATCAGCCCAATTCAAGAATAAACTTGAACAGAGACTATCAAAAGATTTTTAAAATATTGTAAAAACAAAATTGAAGGACATTATCACATAGAAAGCTATACATAACGACAAACAAACTCAATACGGACGGATGAAGAAAAAAAATATGACCATATCTTATAAAAGGACACAAAGACACAACATTCCATGCTGTACACAGAAAAAACTTAGGACATTGAATGATGTTTTTTAGATGAGCGATTAATAATGTAAAAAATAGTACGACCTGATCACGGAACACTGCATTTCTTATATAGATTTAATTTTTGTCTTGTGGTATATGCTCGTTCTGTGTTAACACAATAAACCACAACCAATACGATTAATGAAGATACGTTTTTATTCTGCACTCGGATACTGCACGAAAGAAGCATAAACAAGCACAGTTATAATCGTTAGATTTCATGAAAAAAAAAAGATAAAATAAAATATAACAAGGCTTCTTGATCAAAAACCATAAGATGCCTGTACTACGTACGTCTATCGATTCCGCCGCGACATCAAAGTCTTTATGGTCTCCTCTCTCCATTACGTATCTACGGGAGGAGATATCGATTGGAGGAAACCGTTACATAAAGTTCGAATACTAGTAGAGGTTTCTCAACATCTTACGAACGGGCGAAACTCTACGAACGTATCGATAAGGAGCAGTGATTTTGTTCAGTAAGAAATTTCTACCGATATTGCCAGTGTGTTTAAAGACAACAGGAAACAATTTGATATTGTATTGTATTGTTGTGGTTAAACATTAGTGTTCCAATTTATTTTGTGTTGTTGAATGTTGCGTAATCTTACGTTGAGTTTCGTTGTTTGCATGTCGTATATGCGTTCGATTTATCTCCCTTATCCATTAAAAAAAGAACATTGTTTTGTAATGTCGTTAAAAAAAAATTCCGCGCATCTGGTTTGCATTTGATTGATTGATAGTTGGAGGTTAAACGTTCAGTGACAAGTATTTCATGCATATCACGACGAGATTAACATATGACAAAGGATTGAAAAGAGATTGAGATGACACAACTTTAATATGTTTCATTTATTACAGGCACACGTCTTTTTGATAACCCCAAAAAGTTCTACAACACAAGAAAATTGCCATCTTGGGTGACGGTACAACGAACCAATGACTCTAAATATTTTCAACTCTTTTATTACATGTTCTACATACAGTGATTTCAATATGATTGATTAATATGAAATCTCTTTATTTTTTGTTTACCCGCAGTTTACACAGACTAAAGCAGTCAAGGTTTTCGTTGTACATGTATAAGGAGGATATATGATGTTAATTTTCAAGAGATTGTATGAGTAGTCTAACTCGGAATAGATTAAAGACGGGTTTCATATTTGCTCCATTTTGGTTTATACAAGTTTTTATGTTCTGCTTTATTGAATGATGAAAAAGGACAGGTCTGATAAAGATTAACCAAAGGGGAAAATTTGATTGCGGAGGAGATATATTTTTTGGCGTGACAAGGTTTAATTTCAATGTTTAGGTTTTTTTTTTAATTTAATTTCATTTTTAGATAGGATAAAAAGTTTGTTGCGGAAAATATGAGAGGAAAAAATGCTTCTCCACATTCGGTATCAATGTTTGTTTCAAACAAAGCAAAAACAAAACAAAAGGACATAATTATTTAAAAT